TGACAAAGTACTCTAAGGAGGCAGATGCAAAATACTGGAGGATCATCATGAAATAACCAAATGAATGGCAGATGAACCCTCTCAAAAATATAAATTCCATTATGTTCCAAAGGAAAGAAATGTGCTCTGCCTGATAGTAAGAGAAGAGTTAATTTGCAAAAGAAAGATGGCATCATCACTTGGGTTTAGAATGGAACTGTTCATGAGAGAGTTAAGTGGGGGCAAATATGGATAATTCCATAATTCCATAATGAGGTAGGGGGCTACGGCTGGGATACAAAGTAAATAACCTGTGATGAATATTAAAAAAATGAAAACTAAAAAAAAAAAATTGTGGTTGAGGATATCTTATTTAGCTGTACTTGATTTTTATAAAGAAAATTGTAAGGTGATACCAAATTAATGTTAAAATTATTAAAAATATGGTTGTTTTTTAAAACTAATGCATGCACTATTTGCCCTTTCTTAGTTGGCTTTATCATCTATATGATATGTATATACTTTAAAAGATGAACTCTCTGACTGAACCTCAAGCGCACCGATTGTCTAGACTAGGTGTTCTAGTGAGCTGGCCAGTGAGCGCTCTGAACCTTTCTCGTTGCCTACTGCTGGTGTGGGGTTTAGGTAGCCAGACATGAGCCTTTCTTTGAATGGGCACCAAGCAAGCCCGGTACCCACTGACCCATTCTCCAGCCCCCAAGTTGTAGTACTTTTTGAGAGTAGGTTTATATTTTAGCTCACGGTTTCATGCAGGGAAAGCCTTGCCGACCGTGCTTATGTCTCAGTGGAAGCAGAGTGTTCTGTCCTTTTAAGAGAAGGAATAGTCACAGTGTGGCTGACTGAATTAACAAGTGACAGTCAACCATCCTAGAGTCAACTTTTAACATGTGTTATGGGTACAGCTGGAATGCACAGAAGAAATTTGAATATATAAACTGGGCATATAATAGCTTTCTTAAAGGGGGATTGCTTTCAGAACCCACATTGTAATATGCTTCAGAATTAGTTAAATGCAGTATTTTGAATACTATAAAAGCAGAATACTATGAAAAAAATTATCTTTTCTTAGTTTTTTCTCTAATTTATCTAAAATAGCATTCTTAATAGGTTTTCAGAGAATTATCCCAAAGTGAAATTTTCTCATAAGTAAATGCAAACTGTTTTTTCAATTTTTTTTTAACTATTAAGCATTTACTCTAATGTATATTTAATAGGCTTGATAAGCACTTGTGGGATAAGGGCTTGCATTAAAAGCTGTGGTTGATGTTTGGATATAAGTAGAACCCCTGCTCGGATGTAGCCCATGGTAGCTCAGTATCCAAGTGGGTTTCCCTAGTAAGGGGAACAGGAACTATGTCTGACATGAACTCAAGGACTGGCTCCTTTACTTCCTCCTGCCCCCAAGGGAAGAACAGCCTTGCTAGGCCACAGAGGAGGACATTGCAGACAGTACTGAAGACACCTGATAAGCTAGGGTCAGTCAGATAAGAGGGGAGGAGGACCTCTCCTAGCAGTAGACTTGGAAATGGACAGGGAGAAGATGAGGGAAGGAGGGTGGGATTGGGAGGGAATGAGGTAGGGGGCTACGGCTGGGATACAAAGTAAATAACCTGTGATGAATATTAAAAAAATGAAAACTAAAAAAAAAAAAAGTTGTGGTTGAGGATATATTATAAGGGACATAGGGAATATTTTAGGTTCAAGTCTGTTTTGTTATAGCCTCACTCCCATTTTATTTGTATGTTTTGTACTCTCCTCTGTCTTACTTTCTGTTTCTTAAGTTTATTATTTCATGTAGCATTTAACAATATTCTTCCCCTGGGGCTGGAGAGATGGCTCAGCAATAAAAAGATACTGCTGCTTTTCAGAAAATCTTTATTCAGTTCTTGGCCCTTATGTAAGATAGCTCACAACTGCCTGTAAACTCCAGCTCAGTTCATCTGCCACCTCCTTCTTTTGGCATCTATCGGAACCTGCACACATGTGATATCTGTGTGTGTGCATTTACCCATGCATACTTTAAAATATTAAAAAAAAACATTTTTAGCAAATATAAGAATAAAAATACAAAAAAATTAATTGTTTTTTCCTCAATTATATAGTTAAGTGCACTGTGTTTACCAGTCACATATTAGCTTCCAGTGTGAGCACACTCAAGAGTCTGTAAGCTTGACTGTTAACATTAAGCTGTTTGCCATTCATGTTAATTAAATGGAGACAAAAAGACTTGATTTCTTTAAAATGTCAGATAAGCAGATAATGACCCTCAAAACTACATGAAAAGGAATATTTAAAGACAGTTTTGTTGAATGAAGAAATACAGAGGCCTTCTAAAAAGCTATAGGGAAGTAGGTTTCTGTGTAGTTATAATTGTCTTTGCATCTTCTAGCGCATAGGTAATTATAGAGTAAGTTCAGTTTCAGAGTCTAAAATGACATGGTAAGGACACTCAGAAGTTTTAATAGGGACAGTAGGATCTCACATAACCCTTAGTTCTCAGCTGTAGTGGACAAACTCTGAGCTCAGAATCACCATCTGGGACAAGTGTTCAACTTTAAATGTGTACTATCTTTCTGTTACCTTTCTACAGCACTTTGGACCCTTGGTGACTTTGTCCTTACTCAGTAAGTGCATACAGGAATCCAAGGTTCTTAACACCCAGGTAGTGGGAAATAGGGTCTTCAGTGCTCAAGCTGCCTGCGCTTCAGGTGCCCTTTCAATCCAGGAGCATCAGGGATGTGGTGTCCTCAAAACAGGGTTACCAATGCACCCCTGTTCTGTGTTTTAGCTTTTTCTCATACTTTGTCTTTTGTTGTTGTTTTGTTTTGTATTTTTCCTTTCCCATACGCTTACTACTGTGATTTTAGGACTCTCTTCAAAATAAAGTACAAGTATTCAAGTCTTCATGATTTACCTACTTTGTAGAATCTAAATCAAGTCTTGCACAAATGAAATCCATTTTCAGTACATACAAGTTCTTTGAAATACATTTGAAAATAGAAATTTTATTCAAATGACTCATGTTTACACACACATATAATTCAAGTATTTCTGCATAATATATGTTTTATAAGATAGCGAAACAAGTTCAAAGAGTTTTCTAAAGCTTAAGATATAAAACTCAAATAATAAAGCTCCTTTAAAACTATACTATAGCTTTTTGAGTTATTTTGTGTCCAGTCTGATGGGTAGATTCAAGAAAAGTAGTGTTATGAGTACTTATAGGTGTATGAAAGGATCACTAATCAGAGCACTAATTTGTAGACCCTTATTCTGTTTATAGTCTTATCAGTCACTGCACCTGATAGATGTTGCTAGGAAAGAACTTGCTGAGAATTTAGAAAATTTTTGTTTGCTTTTTAGGAGGCAATAACACTAATTTGATGTGTAACAAATTAAGAGCACAGTCCCTTCACAAATATTAGTGACTCCTGAAAATATTAGTATATTAAGGGCATGACACTCTCTTAACACTTAGTCAAGCTTTAATTACTTTGAAATTAAAATCAGTATTCAGTCTATGAATGGTTGATACCATAGCATTTTAATGGAACAATGTGTGTATGGATGTGTTTGTGCCCTTGTTTTCAAGACACAGTCAAAACCATAGGGGTAATAAATAGGTTTCCAATTCAGTCCTTGCAAGTCTGTGGAACTAAAATAGCCAGTAAGTGAAATTACATGGTTGTTGTTCAAACTTGAATAAATGTGTTGATTGTTAAATTTGAACTATTTTCATCCCTTTTCTGTTAAAAGAAAAAAAGAGAGACTTACTCTTGCCTGGAAAAAGAGTTTTAATATAATTAGTTCCACTGTTGGCTATTCCTTGTATATGTTTATTCTGTTACTCCATAAATGCCTAGAGTTAGTCATGGTAGAAGAGAACTCATTCCTTTGTTTAAAGACGCTAACAGGAGATGCTCAGATAATTTTAATTCTTTACCCTGTTGTGCTAATGGACATCATTTGGCCAAATAATTCCTTGACCATTATCAGTCTTCATAGTGATGTTTGAAACTTTACCTTCAACGTAATGATGAATGATTTAAAAACTAAAATAGTAATAGCTGGATGGTAACCTGTGTGTGTGTGTGTGTGTGTGTGTGTGTGTGTGTGTGTGTGTGTGCGCGCGCGCGCTCTTGCCTGTGCTTATGTGGTGCACAGAGGACAACTGTGGTACATCCATCAGGTACCATCCACCTGATCCTTCTGGTTTTGTAGTCAGGGTCTCTCTCTGCTCTGGTACTGACCAAATGGATCTGGCTGGCTGGCTAGCCAGGGCTGGTAAGCAGAGCATCTGGCTGGCTGGCTAGCCAGGGCTGGTAAGCCGAGCAGACCCACCTCTCCCCCCAGCTCGTGGAACGCAAGCTTTCACTAGCACCGCAGGGTTGTTTCAGTGGCTCCCTCCAATGGAGCCTCGGGTCCTTGTGTTTGCAGAGCAGACATTTTACCAAATGAAGCTCGCCCCTTCTATCACTTGCTTATACTTTTCATTCAGAGCATTAACAAAAGCTCAAAACATTGAAGAGGCTTATAGCATCCTTTGTTCCAAGCACAGGGATGGGGGTGAGTTAGGGGGTTAGAGTTTTTAAAGAGACAATATATCTAGACTAGGTACAAAGCACAGGTGTCTGTGTTCTTTCTTTTCCCAAGTTGTATAAAGCAAAGATAACATGAAAACTAATGCTTGCATTTCCAGCTGTGGTTGTGCCTTACCAACATGGATCTGCTTCTTGAATTGATGGACCATATATGTCCATCTGTGTGTGTGTTCAAGTGCATGTGCACCAATACACTCAGTGATGTTCAATTTTACAAGTCTGTTTAAGTGGGTCAATGTTGATTGCCAGATCATCAGTTGTAAAGCAATGCTTAACACTTTATTACGTTTTAATTCATGACTTTTGTAAACTTATTATAAACTATTTTTATCTTCCTAAAATTAGCTCACACATGTTTTTAAGTAAAGTTAACTTAGTTCATCTTTTCTTTGCCTATAGTGGGAGATTTTGATAAGATCTGGCGAGAACACTGTGAAGATGCGGAAACACTTTGTGAATATGCTGTTGCAATGAAAAATTTGGCAGATAATCACTGGGCAAAAACTTGTGAAGGTGAAGGTCGCATTGAATGGTGTTGTAGGTGAGTGTTTTACAGACTGGCACTGTTGATTTCCAACATAATCTTAAACTCAAATGTCAAATAATGTATGATTTTTATACCACAGTGGGGAAGTATACATATTCCAAATCATGTATAGATCACTTTAACATCCTCTTTTTCTTTGTGTCTCATGAGCTCACTAGGTTTATTTCAGTTACCTTTTTTTTCTTTTCTTTTTTGGAGAAGGGGTTTCTCTGTGTACCCTTGGCTGACCTGGACTCCCTTTGTAGACCAGGCTGGCCTGGAAGTCACAGAGATCCACCTGCCTCTGCCTCCCTGAATGCTGAAACAGTTACATTTTCTTCCTGGAAATGTTTTTTTTTTTTTTTCTTTAACATGCTTAATTTTTTTCCAAACTGTTTATAAAATTCTACTTTTAATACTTTAAATATTAATATATTTCAAAATGCAGGGGTAATTGACTCACCCATAATATAAATACTTCTTCAGATAATACATTTGGATTCAAGTAAAAAGTAAGTACATTAAACTTAAGAGCATGCTAGCAGTTTCAAAATTCTGAATTTTTGATGTGTGATTTTGGGGTATGTCATCATGTATTCTCATAGTACAGTTTCTAATGTTGAAGTCAGAAAATGAAATACTGTTGCTATGAATGCTATCAGTGTGATAAAATTAGAACCTCTTTTATGTTGCTTGAATTTTAAAAAGAGTTCCCAGAAGAAAAGCACTGTTTTATTTGTATAAACTGTATGTTTATGGTAGGTTCCATCTTACACTTCCTTTTTCATTTAATTTTCCCTTCGTGTATTCAGTTTTCTTAAAGATTCATTGTGTATGTGTGTTTGCCATCTGTGTGTAGGCCTGATGAACCCAGAAAAGGGTGTTGGGCGACTGGAAGCTAAAGTTATAGGTGATTGTGAGTACACTGACATACATGGGTACTGGAAACTGAGCTCGGGTACTCTCCAGGAACCTGCAGTGGCCCGAACTGCAGCCATCCCTCTACACCCTACATCTTTAAATTTTTTTGTTTTGTTGAAAATAGGTTGTTTGATACAATACATTCTGATTACAGTATTCCCCCACACACAGCTGTTCTATATTCTGAGCACCTTCTCACCCACCCACATCCAGCCCAATTAATTTAAAGATTGCTTCAATAATATTTTGGAAATCATATTCTTTGTTCTTTTAAAACATTTATTTTTATTAGGAACAATGTAATTCATTCTAATGAACAAACAGTTTAATCAACTTAACCACAAGTATATGAATTCTGCTCTGTTTTAATCTTTCCTATGTTGAAAGTTAATGGTGGTGCATTATTTATTTTCTATTATATCATCTTGTTATTTTGTCTCTCTGTCTGTCTCTGTCTTTCTCTCTCTGTCTTTGAGACAGGATTTCTCTATAACCTTGGCTGTACTACTTGCTTTGTAGACCAGGCTGGCCTTGAGCTCACTGAGATCCGCTTGCTTCTGCCTCCCTGAGTCCTGGGATTACAGGCATGCTCCACCGTGGTTGGCTCTCTGCTTTTATTAAAAATTTTTATATAATAATACTTTGATCATGTTTTTCTCTTTCCCCAGATACTCCCAGATCTTTCCCACCTCCATATCCTCTGGATATTACATTCTGTATGTCTCTGTCTCAAAGACACAATGAAGGTAGCAAGCAAAACCAATAGGACACAAAACATGCCAAAACACAATGAAATAAAAAGACATCCCCCACAAACAACAACAAAAAACCATGGAGTTTTACACACACACATACACACATACACACAGTCACACATATACTGACTTGTAATTTTAAATCTAGGTTGTACATTTGAGAGAAAACATTTGATATTTGTCTTTCTGATCTGGCTTACTTAACAAAACAGTTTTCCAGTCCCATCCTTTTTCCTGCAAATACCATGATTTTTCCTTGTGTATGTGTACCATATTTTTTTTTTCATTCACCTATTGGTAGATAAAATTTATCCCAATAAATTTTATTTCTTGACTGCTGTGAGCAGTACAGCCGCAAGTGTGGATACACAAGTATCTGTATTATAGGACTTCAGGTATATACCAAAGAGTGGTACAGCTGGTTCATGTGACAATTCCACTTTTACTTTAGTTTAGTTTTGTTTTTAATATATGTTTTTAAATGTTTTTGTGCTCATTTACCCATTGGTAAAACACAATTTATCAAACCTATTATTCCCCTGCTTGTCTTCAGCATATAGATTATTTAATATTTTGATCATGAATGTGGAGAATTTCTATTTGTGCTTTTACCAGTGCTTAAAAAGTATTGGACTTTGGAGCATTTGAGATTAAGGATGTTCAATCTCTCTTTCCCTCTGCCCCCTTCTTCTTGTGTTTCTAATTCTCTCACAAAAATGATGTAACATAAAAGACATGCAGCTGCCCGTAGTACGTTACTTTCAAATTCTGCCTTTTATTAAAATAAAAGTTCGATTCTGAAAAGTTTGATAGCAGATCTATTAGACAAGGAAAATAAAGACTTGTTTCTGTACTGGATAGAAGTAAATTGCTCAAAAGCAATGTGAGACAATAAAAGCAAACTCTGACTGATTCCCATTGGCTAGATGGAATAATATAAGCACCCAATAAGGAAAAAAAGCTAACAACAACAACAACAACAACAAAATGACTAAGAAATGGAATTAGTGAAAACGTGAGAGTACAGCAATACTAGAAAATCATTTTCAAAACCTGATGTCAGAATTTTAATTCTCTACTGTATACAAATTATTTATTGTGAAATTTGATCAACAGAAAGAGTTATGAATAAACATACCACAGTGATTTTGGAGAATATATAATTATGCTCTGTTTATAATGGAAAACAATTATAAAATGATGACAGGGAATAAGTATTAAAAACTGTTATACTGTAAAAAATCTTAACTTTACAACTGCAAATGTGATATTTAATAAACGGAAGTAAATTTATCTCAGAAGCTTATTAAAGATTGAATTAATTATCAAGCCAAGTGTCATTCCATACATTATTATCTAACCACAAAGAGAAAATGTTAGTCCATATTTGAAGGCTCTAGGGGCACTACCTCAGCCAGTTGATAGCATTTACCATAAAGGTCCAAGAGCCCACTCATCAGATGCAGATGTGCTTTCATTTACTAAGATATTTTTTATGTGTGGAAATATTTGAATTGCAACAATCATCAGACCTAGCTTTCAGTTTGTAAGAAATAAATAAAGCAAGGCGGAGGACCCTGGGTAAGATGATCAATCCTCACTTTGAAAGGCAAACGGGATAGACATCTAAAGAGGGAGAAAACAGGGAACAGGACAGGAGCCCTACCACAGAGGGCCTCTGAAAGACTCTACCCAGAAGGATATCAAGGCAGATGCTGAGTCTCATAGCCAAACTTTGAGCAGAGTTCAGGGAGTCTTATGAAAGAAGGGGGAGATAGTAAGACCTGGCGGGGACAGGGGCTCCACAAGGAGAGCAACAGATCCAAAATATTTGAGCCCTGGGGTCTTTTTTGAAACTGATACTTCAACCAAGGACTATGCATGGAGATAACCTAGAACCCCTGCATAGATGTAGCCCATGGCAGTTCAGTGTCCAAGTGAGTTCCCTAGTAATGGGAAGAGAGACTGTCTCTGACATGAACTCAGTGGCTGGCTCTTTGATCACCTCCCCCTGAGAGGGGAGCAGCCTTACCAGGCCATAGAGGAAGACAGTGTAGCCAGTCCTGATGAGACCTGATAGGCTAGGGTCAGATGGAAAGGGAGGAGGACCTCCCCTATCAGTGGACTTGGGGAGGAGCATAGAAGGAAAAGAGGGAGGGATTGGGAGGGGATGAGGGAGTGGGCTATAGATGGGATACAAAGTGAATAAATTGTAATTAATAAAAAAATAAATTATATATAACTGAAAATTTAACATTTTTGAAGGCTTTGCGTTTAAATAAAGACCTCTTTTATACAAATGTTTTATTCTGGCTCAAGATCTCAGCATATATCCCAGGCATGTCTTAAACTCAACAACCCTCTTGCTCCTGCCTCCTGAGTGCAGTTTTTATAAGCATGTGTCATCATGGTAGGCTCAGTACTTTTGTTTTCTTTTTAAATCCACCACTTGTTCTTGACTATTGTTCTCAGAAGCTGGAGTTAAATTCACATCAACCTCTTTCTTTTAGCAGTTTGACCTAAAACTGATCTCTTTCTGAACACATGAAGATACAGTGCCTCTTGGAAAAAAAATAATAAATTTAAGAAAAAAGAAAGGAGAGTAAATGTGAGGCAGACATTATCCAGGTGGAAGGTTCAATGCCCCTGTGAAAATGCCACATGGAAGTCCACTTAAGAAAAACAGGTGGATCCATGTTCTTATTTCTTTTATTAGTCTCATCTACCTCGTGTGTGTGTGTGTGTGTGTGTGTGTGTGTGTGTGTTTGAAATATATGGCTCACTTAAAATTAGCAGGGAAGTAAATGATACATAATTTAAAATAAAACTGTAAAGACACTGCAGCCTCCTTTCCACATTTTGTTCTGGATTACATGCACACGCACACACAGCACTATTTAATTACAGAAGATGATGAAATTAGAGGGGGAGGGGGAGGAAATGGGAGGAGCTGGTGTGGGGAGAGCACGGGTAGATGTGATGTAAATGCAGTGCTCAGGTATAGTGCTCTCAGAAAGTGATAGATGAAATCGCAAAGTATGCATTTGCATTTCCCTGATGGCGGGACCCGTAATATGGATGTGAAACTCCTTGAAGTGTCTCTCAGCCATTTTTGTTCGGGAATTTTTCATAGTGAACCGCCTGCCTCTGCCTCCCTGAGTTCCGGGATTAAAGGCATGTGCCAGGGCACCCAGTTTCGTGGGCCATTTTTAAATTGGATCATTTGATGTATTACCCTAGTCAGACCTAGATTTGTTGAGGTCTTACCCTAGTCAGAATGGCGAAGACAAAAAAGAAAACAACACAAACAACAATCTAGATTCAGTAGATGACTTAGAG